TTTGTATAGATCCTTTGTAGGATAATGAGCTCTAGTGGAGTAGGAATTGGTTTTGATGATGGTCCATCAGAAATTAATATTGAAGATAACAAACCTTTATGGGGTTATGTTACAAAAATAGGTAAAACATCAGAAGGGGGAGGCAATATTGCATTCAAATGCAATTTTTGTAATGCAACATACAAATGATCATATTATAGAGTGAAAGCTCATTTGTTCGTTGGAAGATTAGTGGTTCATGGAATCAAAGATTGCCCGAAGTATAAGCCTCATCAACCAAATGGCTGCTTATAAAGAAAAGATTAGTGAGCCTGCAGCAAAGGCAGTTAAAAAAAAGAGCTTTCCCAAAACAATATTCCACTTCAAGCACTTCAATGCTTCATATCCTTCATCGTTCTTCTTCAATTTAGATAGTGTGACATACTGGTAAACAACAGGGCCTTTTCGAATGGGGATCTTGAACAAAAAAAAAAGAAACATGTCTGGTAGATATTGCTTGGAGAAAGCATCTTTAATTTACAAATTGAGAGAACACCATAGACGGAAATAGGCTAGAATGTTTTACTTCAGCATGGCGACTTCCTTCTCTAACCATAGCAAGGAATCCAACAATTACAAGAATTGCACAATTTACATATGCATGTAATAACAATGTTAGCACGGATACGTCCACCAGGATATAATGTGCATCTACGAACGAAGTATGTTGGCCAAAGAGAAGAGGGACCAATATTTTGAGAAGTGCATCGGCCACTTAGAGGAGTTTGGAAGCGAAAAGGACAGTTACTTTGTTTGTGATTGATGGACAGTATCCACAAAGAAAGCCACTTTATCACATTCATGGCGTAAACAGACGAGCTATTCCGTATGTTTATTCCAATAGCTGTAAACGTATGAAGGATAGTCACAAGGATAAGTGTCTTCATTTCTAATTTAATCAAAGAAGTATATCATGATGTGGAGCCTTCAACATCATTCAGTTCATATTGATAAATGCACCTGTTGTGTTAGAGTTGAGTCTACTTGTAGATAGAAGCAAGCATACCTCATATTTTTCGGACACCATGGTGTGTGCATACGCATTAATCTTACTTTAGAAGAAACATTTGTGACCCTAAGAATACCGAGGCAATCGAAATGCGATCACCTCATAACTGCATGTCCATTGGATCACACTATTTGTTGGAATGCAATATGTAATTAGAATTTTATTTGAATTCACTCCATGAGACTCTCTATGTTCACATGATTTCTCTTAATATAAAAGATACAAGCATTGCAGTTGCTGGAAACTCGGTTGCTCAGTAATAGTCGAGAGGAAGTGTTGAGGAAGACTTCCAAAAAAAATAAAAGGATGTCTTTCAAGCTATGGTGATCAGTGAAAATGAACATGTATAAGGGAGAGATGTTGGAAAGGCTAGGATTGTAAAAGAGAAGCTTTTAAATGATTTATTGGGGGTAGATGATTGAATACATCATAAATTCATACGAACAAATTTATGAGCGATGTTGAGAGTAGGCGAACGGATAATCTGCTTTACATCGTCAATTATGGAGATGGGATTCAATGCTAGCCAAAGTAAAAGAAATATATTATAAACATTGAGAGGAGGGACACCCTTCATGAAGACCCTCAAGCTTTTGGGTATGATTATTTATTGCTAGTTCTAGAAGATAGGTGGGCAAAAGTAATACACGCTTTACAATTGCTTGGCTCCCACTCCAATTAAATCCAAAAAGAATAAAATTTCCCACCATTTTCAGATTTATAATACTGATTCCCTAGGTGTATTTGTACCATAAACTCGTCCTCCTTAAGACATATTCATTGTATCTTTTTTTGGAATCT